TTCCAAAGAGGATGGGGAGAGGCTGTTCTCAGTAGTGACAGGTGGCAGAACGAGGAGCAATGGTCTCAAGTTGCGGTGAGGGAGGTCTAGATTTGACATTAGGAGAAACTATTTCAGTAGGAAGGTGCTAAAGCACTGGAATGGGTTACCTAGAGAGATAGTAGAATCTCCGTCCCTAGAGGTTTTTAAGTCCGAGTTTGACAAAGTTCTGGCTGGGATGATTTAGTTGGGGTTGGTCATGCTTTGGGCAGGGGGCTGGACTCGATGACGACCTGAGGTCACTTCCAGCCCTATGATTCTATGACTGAACAGTGGAGATCTGCTAAGTGTGCTCCCAAGCAGGGCAACCAGGAAAAAGAATTGCAAACATTTTCAGAATTTTAAAAAGAAAGGTTGGCTTCCTATCTACTTGACCACTGAGCAATGAAGTTCATAAAAATAACAGAGCAGTCAGTGTGGAACATTGTAGGACAGCTCCTGCAGGCCAGTAAGGGTGCATTTACACTGCAGGTATTAGCTGTATCTCTTTGAACAGAATGGAGAAGGTCTTATGGACACTACTCCCGACAGTCACCTAGTGACTGAGCTCATCCGCTAGGGATGGTATGTCAGGTGCGTGACCCCCAACTGTATCTGATCACCGGAGAGTATCAGATCTTAGATTAATAGGGCACGTAAAATAAAGACTTAAGATGGGAATTTTACTGAAAACCACGGGACTATATTATTTGACAGAATATTTAACAAATATACCTCTAATGAACATGGAAGGGGGCAGTCCCCTCTTATACTACATGGACGAGGAAGGGAAGTTCCTCCAAGTCCCTATACCTACTTACAGAGTCTGCGGCGACAAAGGGTGATTGAGGTGGTGCTGGCGACCTACAACCCTCGGGCTTATTGAAAGCCTTTAGGGAGGAACTGCCAGGCGTCCCTCGTCGGATGATCCCGATGCTTAGTGACCTACGATCCCTTGGCTAATTGGAAGCTGCAGGAGAGGAACAGCTAAGGAGATCCCTTGAAGTGCAGATGGAGAGGGATGACGGTCGGTTCACCTTCCGCGAAGCTTCTGGTCCTCGACACTTCTTCTCCGCGCTTCGGAGCAGCAGGATCAGGCGATAGAAACTAGATTCTATCCTAACCTACCCTAAGCTTAACCTAAAAATAAAACCTTATTCTAAATCGCGACGAGCCCGACGAACAAGCACGAGGACGGCCGACATGCGGTGACCGACGTACCCTGCCGTACAGACTCGACGACGAGAACTAATCTAACTAAAATACTAAGCTAACTAACCTAATTACCTAACCTAAGTGAGTAGATCTGACCTTCCGTCAGATCTAACCCTGGAAATTAACATTTAAAAGAGTGAAGCATGGCCTTGCGCCAGCTTCCCTTAAAAGAATCTCTTTACAAGACCTCTTTCATACACCTAGGACAAGAATGATAAACACACTCTCTCTCTAATCTAGCCTAGAGCCTATCCCGACGGAACAAGAACCCGACGCGAACAGCAACTGCTGCGCGGCAGAGGCTTAAATACTCAAGGTTCATACATATTCATAAGTGTTCCGCTCGGAGGTGATTGGCTTATAGGAAATGCTCTCCAGGCGTGGTTTAAAACCATTGGTTGACACATGGCTTATGAATATTCATGTTATATTCAAATTACAACAGGCAGGTGAGTTATTATTTTCAAACTCTAACAGCTACCTGTAGACGTAACAGATCTATATTTCTAAAATGGATGACCAGAGAAAATTCTATTTCAAAATGGAGTTTTGGAATCCATTTTGAGATGAGGCAGTATTTTGCATATATTTAGATCTACATACATTTCAATGGGTAAATAACCTCATACATATAAATGACATCAGTCCTAGAACATGCATATAAACACTTTACAGATGTTCACAGGGTAATCTCACAGTAGATATTTTACATTGATATTCAATCATTCAATCTCATTGTTCACATTTTACATGAACATATCAGTTCTGCCTTACACTGGGCTTAACTTGAAATAAGCTATGCAAATTGAGCTTTGTCAATTGCGTATCTTATTTCGAAATAGCTTATTTTGAAATAGGGAGCGTCTACACAGCACTTATTTTGAAATAGAGCACTCTTCCTTTGACTTCCTTTATTCCTTGTACAATGAGGGTTACAGGAGTAGGAATAAGAAGTCCTCCAGCTTTACAGTATTTTGACACTATTTCGAAAGAACTACCTGCTGTGTAGACATGGACCAAGTTATTTTGAAATAGCATTAGTTATTTCAAAATAGTGTTGCAGTGTAGACATACCCTAAGAGTCAACATATGTAACATAGCATCTATGCTGATGCTACACACTCAGGGATGGTGCTTTTAAGTTGTTATAACGTGGGACTTACAGTGGTGTGAGTGTTGTTTAAGTGTAGAGATCTCCACAGCTAAATTGACATAAGCGGCCTTACATTCACCTAACCGTGTAGTGGAGACCAGGCCTTATTCTCTCCATGACTCAATTCCCCATCTGTTTAAAAGGGAATAACAAAACTGTCCAATTAACTGTCCCAATTAATATTGGGAAGAAAAATATGCCAAAGACTGTGGGGTGCTCCGATATTCAGTAACAGGGGCAATACAGTACTTAAAATAGCTCTGTCTTAGACCATATACTAGGATCAGAACACAGCTAGTTAGAACTCTGTTTAGGGTTGTAGCTCTCTCCAATCTGATCCCACTGTGAGTAGAGCCAGAGTGCCAATCTGAGAGAATGTCAGCACATTCTGACATAGAGCTGCTCACTGCAAGGTGTGATTGGCATTCCTTTGAACACACCAAACCTGACACCTTATACAAGCCATGAGCATGGCCCTTAGTGGAGTTTCGAGAGGCCTGTTCGTGTGTCTGCCCATGTGCAAAATGTTCCTAAAACAAAACACTTCACGCCAAAGGCCAGACTAATTTGTGTCTTGTTGGCATCACTGCTCGCATCAAACTACTATCCTAAATGAACAGTGATGACCATGTTTTTGTTGCTCCTTAGAGCACAAATAAACAAGATGTGTAAATGTAAATAAACCTGAATGCCAAGTGGACAAGAAAACGCCTTTCAGTAGAGAGAAATTCTGATGGGAAGAGACTGTTGGGTCAACACAAGGAAGCACTGAGAAAAGTGATAAGGTATCCCTTCATTATTAATGGGCAAAGAGGCCTCTAAGCCATTGTCATCCTTGCTCTAATCATGTTGCGCCATGGCAGTTTATTCTTAGCCTTAGCCACAAACTCATAAATAATGAAATGGGCCATGTTTTATCTTACCCCAGTGATTACTGTAATGTGGCTTTTATCTGCATCCCTGCCAGGCGGGTGGACATGGACAATATTCAAAAGTAGATAAAAATGAATGAATTACACCATATAAAAATAGGTTCAGCTCTTCCAAAAAAAACCCAAGTGCTTATTGACAGTGAACTAATAGCTGCCTTATTAGTAACTGTGTAGGCTGCCTCTCTGGTGGGCTGCCTTTCTGTTCTGTAGACTATAGGAGGAAGAGATAAGAGACTGGAGACTGCAAACGGAGGCAGACTGGAGACAGGCTGCATGGCACATCTATGCTATGTTAATTCTTGGAAGTGTTTTACCCACAAATGGTACAGCAGAGCACCAGACATTGTGGAAATGATTATATGCAGTGTAGTTGTGGGTATACTGGTACCAGAATACTAGAGACACAAGATGGGTGAGATAATATATTTTATGGGATCAACTTCTGTTGGTGAGAGAAACAAGCTTTCAAACCCACTTCTGCTGTGGAGAGAGGAGCAAGTGTTTGAGCTGCACAGAGTTTTTCTTCAGGTCTAAGAAATATAGTCAGTCATAGCCAGATGCAAGCTGGAAGAGATTGGTTAGCATAAATAAATAGTTAGTACATATTCTAGGGGACCATTCAAGATCGAGAGCATTTAGTCGTGATGCTCAGGGTCCTTTCTTAGACCTGAAGAAAAACTCTGTGCAGCTCAAACACTTGCTCCTCTCTCCACAGCAGAAGTGGGTCCCATAAAATATATTATTTCACTTGCCTTGTGTCTCTAAATATGCAGTTTGGCCAGTAATTTGGGGGATGAAGAGTTATTTGTGTGTAAGGATAACTAGATGATAATGCACCCAGCTAGGAATAGATTAAATAGAATGGAGTACATATTTAATGTATTTTGTCTGAAGGGCTCCAATAGCTTTAATTAAGCCTCACAGCAGCCATCTGTGATGGATTAGTACTAGTCTCGCTTTAAAGGTGGGGAAACTGAGGCACAGGAAATTACTGACTCGCTCAAAGCCACAAAGTGTGTCAGTGGCAGAGCTAGGTATAGTATCCAGGAGTCCAGGCATGCAGCCCCGCTAATCTAACCACGCTTCTTTCCTTCGATCATACTTCTGCAAGCATAGAGAGTTAGCATCTCTACTAGAGACATCTGTGTATAGAACAGTCTTTAAAAATTGGAGAAATATATCAGTGTATCATCACATTCCTGTAAGTGAAGAATAAAGTGTCATAGGCAGTCCTAGGTCCTGTTCTCAAAGAGCTGTGGACCATAATAGCGTAATCCATTTTTGTGTTGCCTGAAATAACCTGCATGTGCTGTCTTGAGGCTGCTATATCTTAATTTTCCTCTTCACAACTTCTCATGTTTACAAAGTTCCATATGTTTAGTGTTCGTTAATGGCCCATCTCTTGTGTGACTCAGAGAGAGCTATGGAGCAACCAGTGCAAGATATGTCACCAACAGCAAAGGGCTGAACACAGCATGTGTCAAAATAGCAATGTACATTTAAAAGGGCAAACAGTGCTGGTCTCTTTATCCTCCTTGGTAAATGTATTTTCATTTCAAGTCCGATGGTCAGTTCCCTTGGAGCTCTTGTTATCTCCACACCTTATTGGAGCTCTTATGCAATCTACAGGTTTATGAATTGATGCAAATCCTCCCTCAACGGGCTTTTGTTTCTTGTTGCAGAAATTCCCGGAGCTGAAGTTTAAGTATGTAGAGGAGGAGCAGCCAGAAGACTTCTTCATCCCTTATGTCTGGTCCCTGGTATACAATTCTGCTGTGGCCCTGTATTGGAACCCACAGGACATCCAGCTGTTCACTATGGACTCTGGCTGAGGGAGAAGCAGCCGAGCCAGCTGTACTCTGATTACAGGCAAAGAAACTCAAAACTGCGTGTGAATGTGACCCCTTCCCAGAATGCATCCTCTAAACCTGAAGCTTAGTGAGAATAAAGCTTGCTACTATTGTGTAGTGCGACTTTGACATTTTGGTACCAAACTGCAGCAGACACACTGGAAGCAGATTGTGGTGTGGGAGAGAAACTGGCAAACTTTTATTTCTAATTCATATAACCTAGAGCTTATCCAATGAAAATGGGGCCTTAGACCTGCAGCATGATATCACCACCACCAAGAAATCTGATAGCTTTTTTAACTAAAATGGGGAAATGAGGAGAGAGTGTTAGCTGATCTGGAAGTGGCATTTATATCTTTATTACCTTTAAGTGATGCATCTTCTTTGGGTCAGGGTCTTTGAACACAAACATTTTCTACAATGGACTATTTCACCAGTATCATGCCTCCTCTCATGGCAACTTATTTTGGTGACATTGCAAAGTCTACAGTCTCTAAAATATCTTTATTAATGTAATCAGCGTATACTAGGCTACATATTAATCAAATGATGTTTCTAGACAGAGAGGAGGATACTGTGGTATATATGAGAGGTTTTTCAACTGCGAGACTTTGGTTTTGAAGAGCTATCACAACACTTTTGATTCTTAATACTCTTTATGGGGCTTGAGACACTAGCTTCCAGAGGAGAGGCCCTCTCAGACTCACATTTCGGTACTTCTGAACAAAAGCTTTTCCTAGAAATTGACCACATAAACAAATCTCCAAAGAAAAGTAGAGCTATGCCACATAAGTTTGTGCACTTTCAGCAGTGTCTGATGGGAGTCCCTGGTGAAGCCATATGTTAAAAATCCCCTTTTTGCTGCAAAAGGGATTATAGCAGAGATATAGATTAACAGAATGTGGAACACTTCAAAATGGATGTTTTAAAATATTCTTTCCTGATGTATCTAGCTTAATGAAAATAATTAAGATACTCACTCTGCAGATAGAAAAACAAAAGAAATTGGTTGACATTATTTTAAGTGTCTCTTTCCTCCACTGCATATAAAGGATTTGTTTGTGTCTTGGACAAGCTCCTGACAGTGTTCACTTCCACATGCTCACAGAAACTCCTGCTATACCTTATGCTGCTTTCTGGAAGTCGATGTCACTAAGTCAGGTGTTCTGCATGCCAAAATATAAAGGAGCTGTTCTTACACATATATGGTAAATCCCTCAATTCACTGCCTGACCCAGCATGTTCTGTTTTCAGACTCAGAGGACAGTGCACATTTGCTTTCGCACACAATCTTCTGAGTGGCTTTAAACAGAGTTTCCTGTGTTCATTTTTCTTTTGCTGAAGAATTTAGACATGTACTTTGTTTTTACCTGTCTGTTTGGAAGCAAAGTCCTTTTGGACAAGTGGAACTGCTGGATTTTTTTTTAAACTCCTTTCCCTATTTACTTAAAACTATAAGTATGAAGAGCCATGCATAGCATAGGCCTTCCCAGTGCTTTCAAGCAAAGGTTGCTTTTGGGAGGAGGCAACATGAAGAGAAGAGCTGCAACTCTTTTGAGTGTAAAATATGGGAAACAATTGAACTGTGACTGAAGACAGGGGTATGTTTGTGCTACGTTTGGGGTTGGTTTGCTTTTTTTAAACCTCTGAACAAAAGTCAAAGGGGAATGAATGGCTTTTGTGTTGGTTATAGTGATTTGTAATTTTATCTTTAAATAAAGGACTAGAGTGTTTGTGAGCCAGGAAAACTGCACAGTCCTTAGCATGGTCATTCTAAAAGTGCACCTTTAAACTGCGGATTCTGAGACGAACTGTGCTTCAGTTCTTCATCTGACTTAACCACACTGAGAGTCTGATCCTCCCACATAAAGACCATCTTCCATCCCTATTGACTTCAGTGATAACTGGGGACACCCAGGACCTCCAGGCTGGTGTATCATCTTTGAGAGAATCTGATTTTCTTTAAAAGAACTGCACGTAAGTACAGGGGCATACAGCAGCAATGTGATATACACAGGTCAAACAAGACACTGAATCAGTGAAGGGGAGTGGCATGTAGTAATTTCAATTTGTCGTCTTAACAATGTTGCACTAACGTAAAAGAGAAGCATGCTTGTTTCAATGGAATACTTTTCTTGTGCAGTTAATTAAAATGCAGTGCATATGGGCCCCAGCAGGATTGTAATGGCAGGAGCCAGAATCCAAAGCTGAAGCAGTAGAGTAAGCCAAAGTTTATTCTGAAATCCATCCTATTATGATTGGTTCTTTCAAGTTTCAAGCATTGTACAGGTATAGAAATGTCTTGGAGTCTGCAGTCTGATGTGTTCACAAATACTCTATTTTCCTTCAAATCTGTAAGTACCTTTTGAGGGATCCTTTTCATTATTTTTGTGTGAAAGATTTATTATGTAGTAATAAAAAAAACCCTAAACAGACTGTTGTATTTGTTTTGCATAGCAATTACTGCACATAACACTTGGCCCCAGAGAGCTTAAGAGTTTTTTTTATTTAATATGCATGCAGTTTCATAACATCAGTGCTTTCCAATAGAGAGAATCAGAATTAATGTTACTAAATAGATTATTTAAATCCTGCATTTAATATGAGGAACTAAATTGTGGTTATTCTTTTCAATTGCTCCTGGACACATGGTTTTCATAGATGACCTTTCCCCACCTTGCTGGTTTCTTACCAGAACTCTTTAGAATTAAGTCAACTCAAGTCTTGTCAACTATCATAAGTTGCATTAATAACATTGGTGGAGCATGTCCACACAGCACTCCTTGTATAGATTGCGTGTATCCACAGCCATTGCCCTTGGCCACAGTTGTTGCTCATGCATTGACAGAGCTTTGTGTCATGGGTAGCTATCCCACTGTACAACTGGTCACCTTTTGATTCTGGGAATGGCAGGGGTTGCCTCCAAAGATGGTATGCTGCTCCCTATAGAAGGGGCATGTCTTCCGCACTGCACCACAGTGACAATTGGCTTCCCTTGCCTTCTGTACTCATGCCTCAGTTCCTTGACTTCAGCATGACACTGCTGCGTGTTCCTGTAATGCCCATACTCCTGCATGTCACTAGCAATCAGCCCATAGGCATTCCTACGGATGATGAGATGCTGTGACTGCACAGCATCTTCTCCCCATGGTCTCAGCAGATCCAACAGCTACGGTGTACTCCACATAGGCACACATCTGCTCATCACCATGGTATCCTCGGATTATCCAGTGGAAATACTTCAGCCAGGCCAATGGTCCTGAAATTTTATTGGGTACTGTCTGTACCCCCTTTTTCAATGTGGGGCATCTGATAACACTTCAACGATAGTACAGAAGAAAGCAACTTTTGGAGAGCTGGGAAACATCTGTCAGGTTCAGAGAAATAAGATGCTCACCTGATGTTTTATTTTGTCGTTGTTTCTTAATGTCTCAGAATGAGAGTCCTAACCTCTGTAGCACAATTAAGTGTGGGAAGATTTGGCATCTGGTAGCTCTGCTATTTCTTAAGAATATATAATGTAAAGGACTTCCTCCAGGTGTATCAGGCTAGCATCTTTCATGAGCATTAAATTCTGCATCAAACACACACTCCAAAAATTCCAAGGTTGGTTTTGTCCTCTTTAAAAGCAAGACAGTTATCTAGAATAGTGTTTTCCTATCAGTCCTAAAGCAGGAACCTTTGTCAACATCTTTAGCAGACAAAACATAATTTTGCCATTTAAAAGGGAGAAACAAATGTTTATTTATACATTTGGCTAAGCACTGGAAGAGGCTGCTGGCCCAGTTATCAGATGTAAATGTACGTTATTCTACATCTAATATTTAAACAAAGAATTTTGTATCAGTTCTACATTTGAAAAGTGAAAATATTTCAGTCGTTGCAGCTAATATTGAGCCACCGTGCTAACCAATCAGCTTTCATTATTTATGAGGTTCTACTTTAAGTATCCTAATAGCAATCTTCTCCCTTGCTACAGGTTCTACCAGAAGGTCATGGATGATATTGGGTCATCATGTAGCAGACCCTGTAGTCACCATTCATTAGAGATTGTTCACATTTGAGAACTGAATTTTACAGCATAGAATGCACCTGGTTTTCACAATGGCTGCAAAGCAGATTAGCCCAACAATGAATGCAACTGGATGGATGCTGATTTTTTGGGGTCAAAGCACAAATGCTGTTTCACTGGGAAAATTGTTCGTTAATGGTATCTTTGCACATGTTGGTCATAGTGTTCACATGTGGGGCAGCAGCATGCAAAATGCTTCTGTGGATGTGTGACAGGAATTGTGCACTTAAAGGGAATGTCTTTTCTGTCATTTAAAAAGAGCGCTCTGCTTGAAAGTTGATCTATATTTTTGAAGTGATTCTAAAGCAGTGCTAAACATCTTCACAAGGCTCTTGTGAGCAATCCTTGACATTTTGGACATGCAAGATTGGATCAAATCAACCAATGACTCACTGCCCAGCTATGCTGGTAATAATTCTTGTGTATTTAAAAGACAAACAAGGAAAATAGCTTGATATAAAATTAAGATACTAAACATAACCTTTTTGGGTTGCAAATGCTTTTTGGTTTAGTACAAATTATATTGTAAATAGTTTGCTTTTCTATAGCTAGCAGTTACCTTGTTTTGCAAGATTCCAGCTGGACTTGTGGTGTGAAAAACACACAAGAGTTTAATCATAGGAGCTATTGCTGGACAGGTACTTAGGTTTATAAAGTTTTATTGCTGATAAATTCTTTCAAGTATCCATGCTTGAAAGTGGAAGGCACTGTAACCACCCACACACTGTACATTCACTTATAAGCACTCAGATAAATGAAAATGTCATTATCAGTGAATCACTCCAAGTCACAAATCAAATACACTCCAGAATAGCCAAGCTGGGACAATTTGAATGAAAGATTTAGAGAGAGAGAGAGATTTTAAATGCTGCTGAAACACTGCATTAATCCTTCATCATCACTTTAAAAACTGCCTCAAAATTAATCCAGAATGAATGAGACTTGGCAAGGCTGATGAAATGTTCAGCTGTACGTGAAGTTTTTACCGACTGGCTTGGCAGCTTTCAATCTTTAACTTAATGTTGTGCTGTTGAAAGGTGCCAGATTTGACAGCACTGGGTAACTTTGGAGCCCTCTATTTACTCAGTAGCTACAGAGTGAGCAGCAACGGAACAAGGTTGATCTCATGCAATATTCAAGAGTGAATGACTAACCCCCTCCCAAGACTTAGTAAAATGCTCATGGTACCCACTGCTAAGCTACCACCCCACCCTGGAAAGATCTCTCTAGCAATGAGAGGGTAGTTCTTCCTTGAGGAGTCTCCCTGTGGGTGCTCCACCTTAGTTGTTTTCAGCGCCACTGCGCCGTTAGTCGGAGATTTAAGTAAATGGTGCCATGGTTGGTTGAGTGTGTAGACAGCCGGCATGTGGCATTCATAATGGCTACTGTGCATGTTTAGCCAACTGACCCCTCCATTCTTTCTCCGCCACCGTTGGCCATAGTCAGAACCTGCAGTTGCCCCACATACTCTTTGAAAATTGTTTGAATTTATTAGATAGTTTGATTCTGTAGTTAGTTATTTAGTGTTTATAAGTTACCTGTTAATAGTTATGTGTTGCAGTTGTTCTTTAGATAGTCAGCAAACCATTTTTTAACAGTCTAAAAGACATTCCTGGCTTACCAAGCTTTAAGCGGTGTCTGACATGTAGATTTACTAGGGATGGGAACAACTTGTCAACTATCTGATAAGTAAATGCTTATCGGATATTTGACAGGCTAGTTGAATAGTCGCTTCCCCCCCCTTGCTGCCTCTATTAGAGACAGCAAGGGGAGGCAAAAGAAGGGATGCTTCAAAGTGGCAGTGCCGCATGAAGCCCAGGGTCATCTGGGGACTTAGAGCGGGGCTCCAAGCGCCGCTACCACTTCGAAATGCCACAGGGCACATGGGGCCAGCATGGGATTGCTTAAGCCCCCTGTTGGCCCTGTGCTCCCCACAGCACTTTTGCCTTTGAAGTGCCCTTATCGACTATTCAGTTAGTCAAATAATCGAAATTTTACATCCCTAGTTGATACCTATATCAGACGGCTACTTTCAGTGTGTACATTGCCTGGGATAGGGACACTCAATGGACAAGTGCCCTCACTGCAAGAAATTGACTGTGAGAACCAGAAAGTCCAGAGAACTCCAGCTTAAACTTATGTCATTGGAGAAAGCAATGCGGCCCGCATCTGACCCTGAATACTCCTCACCTCCCGCCCCCATCCCTGGTAGCATTTGCCTATTGCAAGCTCTGAGAAGTCGGCTCCCTTGAGGGTGAGACCCTCAGATAATATGGCTGATCAAGCCAAAAAGTGCTCTTATTCATCTTTTAGGAGTGAGTCTCCTGAGAAAAAGTGCTCACATTCAAAGAAATAAACCTGTGCACCGGCAGCATATAAGGCACTGGACAGCAAGGTTCCAGGTACATCTGGTACCGAGACTACCTGAGGGGCAAAAGACCAAACTCGGTCTAGCTCTAACACCTCTCGGCGCATTCCAAGTCTATGGCAGCTCTGTCGGCACTGACAAAATCATCCACAGCACCGACAAAGCAGCGGTCGGTGTCGGCACTGAGCACAGCCATGTTTCCACCAATCGCAGTAGTCGGCATCGCTGCCTCAGACCAAGCATTCCACCTCACAGGCTCAAGCTAAGCCCCCAGCACTGCCGCTGCTGAGCCTGAGGTCAGCTCAGTCAGCCAATCCCCTGTGACAGACTATGCCGGCTCCAGGGCTGGTACCGATTGCACAGGCACTGCAACAGTTAACCATAGCTGCGGATCTCATAGTAACTGACAGCATGCTAAATACATCTTTTTTTTCCCTGGGACATCAGGATCAGCTCCTGCTCTGTCACTATCCAGTGATGACAATGACGACTCCATTACTGTGCACATACCAAGGCACTCATCACCTAAGCCAGTGCAGCATCCCGCTCAGTGGTAACCACCACAGTAAATGGTCTGGTAGCACTTTATAGACTAACAAAACATGTAGACGGTATCATGAGCTTTGGTGGGCACAGCCCACTTCAGATGACCGGAGTTATGAGTAGGGGAAATGAAAACTTGAAATAAATAGGAGATGCTCTTTCTCTCCTCCACCCCCTTCTCCTATTTATTTTGAGTTTTCGTTTCCCCTACTCATAACTACCAGACCATTTGTTGTTTTTTTCTGTAACCGACTAACTCGGCTAACCCCGAACCCACCACAATGGTTACCACCTTTACCAGCCCCTTCCAATTGGCCATACTGGGACTCTTGGGCTGCATAGACGCTACACAAGCCCAGCCTCAGCCACAGAGAACCCCTACGTCGAGGTCCCGAATGTCTCTAGCATCCTCCACCACCCTCTCGAGACCAGAGGAGGAAGAGGAATCCAAG